ATAAGTGCTTTGCCTGTATGAATGTCTGTGCACCACACATGTAGAGGATGCCTTTTTAAAAGACTGTGATGAGGGCTGGAGAGTTGGCCCAACTGCTAGGAGTACTTGTTCTTCCAGAGGACCTGGGTTCAATTCCTGAACCCACAACAAGCCTGTAACTACTGTCCCGGGAGAGTTGGAGTCTGATGCCCTCTTCTGACCTCTTTGGGCTCCAGTCATGCACATGGTACACAGGAGGGACGTACATGCAGGTAAAACAGTCACACATATAACATAGTAGAGGAAATCATTCTCAACTATTTTTAAAGAGACTGCGATAATAGTTGGTGAGCAAAACTAAGGCCAGGTTATTTTTAATCTATTAAATGAGTTGACACTTTGGTCCCCCTCTGCAAGGATTGTAGCTGTTAGCAGCTGTTTTTCCTTCTCTCTCCCTCTCCCTGTTTCTTCCTTTAGGGTTTTAAGTTAAAGCAATCTTTAGATGTCTGTGCTCATCCTACCATATTGGCCGTAAGTAGACATTATGGCCAATACTTTACGAGTAAACCGTTCCAATTTTTCCAAGGTAGAAAGGGCAGCAACTCTGCCTCTGACCTTCATAGCCCTGCTTTGTTGGTCTTGCTCTTTCCTTCTGTCCTCTTTCAAAGCGGACCATGAGAAACCTCCACCCAGATTTGGATGAACCATAATGGGTCTCTATCATTAACTGATATGCTAATTAAGGTATCCAGTAAAGCATTCTAATGAACTTTCATGTCCCCATCCCAGCTCTGATGTCTTTTTTTACGAAGCTGTTGTATTTTTGCTTCTAATCGTAGTGACAAATCAGCTGGCATCCGTGTAGCTATCTTTTGGCCTTCCTGCAGAAACTTCTTCATCTGCATTTTGTTCTTAGCCAAACTGACTTTTCTCGCCTGTGTTCTTTGATTATGAGCCCGGACATGCCCGGCATGGAGATGACTGTGATTTGTATTAAATGCAGCATATTCTGGGATGTCATAGTGAATTTCAATTTCCAGTTATTTGACACACTTGGAAAGAAGCAACTCAACTGGAGTTGCCTCCATTAGATTGGCCTTATTGTTCTGTGGGGCATTTTTTTAAAAAAAATAATGATTAATGTAGGAAGGCCTACCGCTGAGGGTGGTACCACACCTAGACAGGTGGGTCTAGTCTGTATAAGAAAGGTAATTGAGTAAGCTAGGGAGAAGCAAGCCAGGAAGCAACTCCATGGTCTCACCTCCCACCTTGGCTTTGCTAGATGATGGATTATAACTTCTTAGTCAAATAAACCCCTTTCTTCACCAAGTCTCTTTTGATTATGACGTCGATCACAGCAACCAAAAGCAAATAAGAACATGAGGTGTATGTGTACGTTTTTGTGGGTGTATGCATGTCTGCATGTGAGGTGCACATGAACCCTTGTGGGCACATGTGTGCATGGGTGTATGGAGGCCAGAGGTCAATGTTAGGAGTCTTCCTAAGTTGCTCCCCACCTTAACTTTTGATAAGCCTGGAGCTAGTTGATTCAGCTAGACTAGCTGGTCAGTGAGGTCTGGGGATGTCTGCCTGTCTAGCCCGCCCAGCACTGGGAGCCAGGATGTGCTCTGCCATGCCCAGCTCTTATGGGGATGCTGCTGATCCAAACTCATGTCCTGATACTTGCATTACAAGCACTTTACCAGCCGAGTCATCTCCCCAGCCCAGATTAAAGGCTTTTAAAAAATATTCATTTTATTTGATCTATATATAAGTGTTTTGCCTGAATCTTTATATTTGAACCAGAAGGTGTCAGAGCCATGCAGTATGTACTGGGAATTGAACTCGAGTCCTCTGAAAGAGCAACAAGTGCTCTTAACCACTAAGCCATAGCTTTAGCCTCTAGATTATGGGCAAGAGTCATATTTAACCAGTTCTACTGTGGCAATGATAGCCCCTTCCCTGCCACTGTGGCTTTACCATCACACTCCCCCGCACCCTGTTCCCTTCATCTGATTGTGCACTCCTTGCTCTGAGTCTCGATTTAGCCTCTCTGTCTTGCTGCCCATGTAGCAACCCATCTCTGGATGATATTTAGACAAGAAGCTGTTTTAACCGCTCTATTAGATTTTATTTTGACTTTATGTGTAGAGTAGGGGTGTTTTGCCCGCATGTTAATATGTACACCTGTATGTGCCTGGAGACTCAGGAGCAAGAGCACAGCACTGGATCATCTGAGCAGTTGTAAACCACAGTGTGGATACTGGAAGCCAAATCCAGGTCCTCTGCTAGAGTTTCAAGTGTCCTTAATCCTTGCGCAATCTTTCCAGCCCTGCACTTCAGATGTTAACTGTTCCTCCAGAGTCTGTTGTTGGGAAATGGTAGAGCCTATAGGAACGGAGCCTGTTGAGAGAGATTCCAGCCACTGAAAATGTACCCTAGGAGGTAAAGGTCTAGCCCCTTCTTTTTTCACTCCCCAGTAGGAGGGGAAAGGTTTTGCTCTGCCCTGTGCCCCCACCATAATGGGCTGCCTCCACTAAAGGTTGAAAACAGGGACACTGTCTACTAATGTCTTACATTAAAGAGAATGCTTTGAAACTCCAAAACTGATCCAAAGTAAACTTTGTAAGTTGATCTTTCAGGTATTGTAGTGAGCCAATACTGACTAACCCAAAGGGCTTTTTGTTCAAAATCTTTGATACTTTATAGACGTAGAGCTATGCACAATAATCAGGTGCTATACTTGCTGTTTATTTAATAACTTTATCTTTTTTAATTTTGTGTATACGACTGTTTTAACTCCAGGTTTGTGTGTCATTTGCCTGCCTGGTGTCTGCAGAGGACATTGGATCCCATGAAATGGAATTATTGGTTGTGAGCCCCCATTAGGTTGTGGGAATTAAACCCAGGTCCTCTGGAAGAGCAAGCAGTGCTCTTAACCACTGAGCCATCTCTCTAAACCCTATACTATTTTTCCTTCTGTTCTGTATTTTTGTTATAAATTTTTTAAAAAAAGTAAAATAGACTTGAGAAAAAAGTCACCAGTATACAGTTGTGTCTTTTGTTTTGCTTGTTTGTTTGTTTGTTTTTGAGACAGGGTCTCACTGTGTAGCTCAGGCTGACTAGGAACTTGTTAGATAGACTTGGTTGACTTGAACTCACAAAGATCTGCCTGCCTCTACTCCTGGATTAAAGGCATGCTCCACCATGCCTAGCACAATGGCATCTTAAGACCACTTTTTACAAGTGATCTTTATAATTCAGGGGACTCTGAGAACAAAGAAAGATAATCCATAAATAATCTTATTTATCCTTAGAAATGACTTAAAGCAACTAGTACATTTGCTTTAAATGTTTTAAATTGCATTTATTTACTCATGTATTAATATGTGTGTGCATGTTTCTCTGTCTGATTTATAGTGTATGCCTGTGTGCATGCATTTCATGGAGTGCCTGTGGAGGCCAAAGGACAGCTTCCAGGAGCCAGTTCTCTCCTTCCACCATGTGGCTACTGGGATTAAACTCAGGTCGGCAGGCTCTTTGGCAAACACCTCTATCAGCTCAGCCATCTCACCTGTCCACAAATTTGTTCTTTATGACTCTCACAGAATGAACAATAAGAAAAAGGAAAAGACAAATTTTTTACTAACTATAGTTGATTTTTCAGTCACATAGATAGTAATCTCACTACTGAGGCTACTTGATAAAAATTATTTGGGTCATGCAGAATGTTCCAGTATCTGTTTTAACTACACTATTGTTTAAGTGTCCATGTCCAATTACAAATAATTATCCTATATATTTTTACCGTATATATTTGTTCAGACATTATCTTGTGAAGAACAGGCTGGTTAATATTTATTTTAATATGTTTTCAAAGTTTTTTGTAATTTTTCTACCACATATCAGCTGCTTGCAAAAATAAATTTGTTGTATAGTGCTGGTTATTGGATGAGTTAAAATGTTGGTACATCATTCAACTGCTCTTTAATCTATAGTTATTGTAATCCTTCTGCAGCAATTCGTTTGAAATCAAGCACCATAGCCTCCAAATTACCAGCAAGCCAGAGCACTTGTTATCTATTATACAGGAGAATGTTGGACAGATTTGTGTTAATTTTCATCAGCATGCACAAAGACTATTTCTAGTTTATTTTTTCAGCTTGGACCGCAGAGACCTGGCATGATATGTAGCTTAGCTATGCAAGAAAAGAAGGAAATGACTGTTGACATCCTATCAAGTCTAGAACGAAATAACTTATTCTGTCCATGGAGATCATAAAAAACCTCTTAATTATTTTTGGATAGATTCCACCATCAATATCATGCAAGTCCCCGTCTTTGCAAGCCTGAGGCTGAGTAACCTGTAGCGGACACTGTTGGCACTCAGAGTTTCTTGAATGCCACCGCAACCCTTTTCTTCAGTAGGGTAGGTTTCCTTCTAGTAGTCCGACCTGCAGCTCTTATTTGAGACCTGCTCTCCAATGGATGGCACCATTTTACACAAACAGAACCCTTTGTGCAAATGTTCAGATAACCTCGGAGTGTTGGCGATTACTCTCCTCCAGCGGTGGTTAGATGCTGAACGCCCAGCTTCCTGCCTGCAGTTGGAACAAGTTTGGGGTCTGACATATCTTAGGTGTGCCTGCAGGATCAGATAAAAGCTACCTTCTGCAGGACTTAATTGGACCTTACATGAGAGCCTTTCTCTCCTTGGCTGTTTGTTTCCTATTCTTAGTGCTTCCTTAGCAAACCACTTCCACTTCATCTTAAGGTTTGTTTGGGGGAATCTGAATTAATGTGGGACCCCAAATTCTAATCTATGCCCCCCATCCTGGTCTTCACAAACCCTGCATTTTTATTGCAATCTGAGGGGATTTCAGGGGTGGATGTTTATTGTTACTACCTTTTCTCCAAGGTCTTTAACTCTTAAAGAATTCATCAGTGTTCTAGCTTTTTATATTCTATTTTCTTTTTTTTTTTTGAAAGTGTTAGCATTTAATTGGTCTGCCTGAGTGGCTTCAAGCCATTAGAACACAGGCACCTCCAACACCCTTTACCTTCTCTTCAGCTCTTCTGCTGAAAAATTTGGCTTTCACGATGACAGGCTGCTTAGGGAGCTTTCCCTTCCCCAGAACTTTGTAGTAGCCCGATCGCACGACATCAATGATGGGAGCAACTCCAGTCTTGTTCTTGGCAGCGTTGACCCAGGTCTGCTCACTGACCAGTGTCCACAGTTTGTCCAGGTTGACAGTCGGGTAGAAGCTCTGGTTCCTCTTTAAGTGGTAATGCCTCATCCCAACTTTCCCGAAGTAACCTGGATGATATTTGTCGAAGTTGATCCTGTGATGATGCTTGCCTCCAGCGTTCCCGCATCCTCCTGGATGCTTGCGGTGTTTACCGCTGCGGCCATGGCCATGGCTCATGTGGCCCCGGAGTTTCCGGGTCTTCCTCAGTCTGGATGGCACGGTGGTGGCAGAAAGGAAAGAGCTATATTCTATTTTCTAAATCTAGAAACTTCAGACTGTCGATTTAATATGAGCATCAAAGTGTATACTGTTACAACGCAGATTGTATATCATTTCAAAATAGCATTTAATGCAAAAAGTTGCAACTACAAACAGCTTCCTAATTGAGTTCCAGAGGATAGAGGGCATGAAATCAAATCCTCCCTATCAAGGCCTTACAGCTACTGTGGATTCACTATGAGCCACCGCATGGTCCCAGGTCTTGGTCCCGGGTCCTCTGGAAAAGCAGCCAGTACACTTAACTACTGAACCATCTCTCCAGCTCCATAGTCTTCTGTGTCTTAAGACTTGGATTAGGTCCTGAGTGGCCTTTGTTTTTCTTGGAAACAAATTAATTCTTTGAGGTCTCACCAGGCAGGAATCCAGCAGGGGTCACTCATTAGTGGAGAATCTGCAACTGGTCTTTTCAGTCCATCTTGTGTGTCTGAGGCACATATACTTCCTTATTGACCTATTTCCTGTAGCTCAGGGAGGATTTCATCCAAGGAAGTACGTGTCATACTTACATCATGATCCCAATTGTTTAAAGTTCCTATTATGACCAATTAATTATAATGAGAAACAGGGTTCTCTAATTCTCCTTGATGATGTGCTTTGGAAAATGGCAGGCAGCACGTCCCAGTTTTGAAAGGATGTTTGTGACAGGAAGTTTCATAAGAAGAACTTGACAAAGCTCTTGTGTGCATTGTGCCCTCAGCTGTATTTGCAATATCGTTTCCTATTGTTGATTAGCCTGTCATTCTGGTCACGCGGCAACCCTGGTGCTGGTAATGTGTTTATTTACAGAGGAGGTGGTTTGGGTGGAGGAGAAGGGGATAGCTAAGAGGTTATTTCTTGTGTACTTAAAAAGACAAATTAGAGGCTAAAGAAATGGCTCAATGGGTAAGAGTGTATACTGTTCTTTCAGAAGACCCAAGTTAACTTCCGGCCCAGCCCCCATGATGAGGAGCTCAAAACCACATAGGATTCCAGCTCCAGAGGGACCCAACATCTCTATTCTCCTCAGACACCTGCACTCAGATGCAAAGACCCACACACAGACACAAAATTAAAAGTGAAATAAATGTTTTAAAGACAGGCTCTAAAAGCTCAATCCGTCATTAAGTCTTTCCAACTACTGAGAAGGTGCATCTTGCTTATCAGTGTTCACTTCCGTTCATAAATCAGTTCCCATGACTCACACGCTATCAATTATGCATTTATTTCTTCCTCCAGTCATTTGATTTACACAGTGGCCCAATGTTTTCTTTTATATTTATAATCGTCTATGCTGGTAGCATAGTTGAAATCCTACTCATTTTTAGAGCTTCTTATTTTGCTTTATTATATATTAGCTCAGTGGAGTTTTATGACATCCTGTGAGGTCAGCAGTACAGATATCATCATTTTCTATTTCTATAGATGCAAAAACAGGCTCAGGGGAGTAGGAGACTTGCCTTATCAGGATCACAGTACTTGTTTCAAGAAATCAAGCACCTTATCAATTTTGATCCGATGTGTACTCATGACCTTCAAGAGCTCCAGCTTGCCCTTGTCCACCCCCTCACACTGGATATGATCCTAATTCCAACCAAGAAATTGTCTGTATAATTGGTAATCTGAGTTTTTGTGTACCCTCACCGCTTTTTATAGAACATGTTTTAAGTAGCCTTAATCTTATATACACCCCACTTTTCTTTCAACTCAAATTGTTTAAGTGCTGAAGAACCAGAAGTATTGGTTTTGGCATTCCAATAGTTTAAAGTCATCTGTGTTGGTGGTATAGTGGAGATCATGGCTGCCTTCCAACAGTTTGGAGTCACCAGAAGTCATATCTTGATCCTGATGGTGTCAAGATCTCCAACAAGGCATTAGGTTTTGGCTTAAAGAATTAGCATATTCTTTGATCAAACAGGTTCAACCATCCCTAATTATAATTCATAAGTTCGAGAGTCTGCTTACTTTTATTTTAGTAGAACCTGTTTGTTCCTTATCTCTTAAACAGTCGCCGCGTATTTAGGTTAAACTGAGCCTTGTTCTCTATGACTGAGTACTGCTCAGACTCTGTAAGCCTAAAACTAAAAGACTCTGATACTGGCAACATGGTATTTTTAAACTATATTTGGATTTTAGAAAAGACTGTATGTGAAGGCATTTAGATGCCCAAGGACAAATCTGTGAAATCTTGATGGCCTCATTCATTTCCCATGGCCCAACTGCAAGCTAGTAATGAGACAAGAGAAGACAATTAAAACATTGGAAAAGTACATTCAGTTTTTGAAGGATTTATGAATGTTTGTGCTGGAATTAGAGCTAAGTCTTGATTCCTATCCCTTCTGAGGAAGGTTTTAGCTCATGTCTCGTTCCTTTATCTGTTTTCACTATTGTGAATCTCTCCTTTTTTTGTTTTTGTTTTTGTTCATTTTTTTAAGACGGGGTTTCTCTGTATTACAGTCCTAGCTGTCCTGGAACTAGTTCTTGTAGACCAGGTTGACCTTGGACTCACAAAGACCCACCTGCCTCTGCCTTCCAGTGCTGGGATTAAAGGCATGGGCCACGACCGCCCAGCTGAACCTCTCTTAAATTAAATAGACTTTAAAATATTATTTTTTTTGAAATTATAAATATCATTTATCCTTCCCTATCCTCCTTCTAACTCCTCCCATGTAACCTCATTCTTTCTCAAATTCACCTTTTTTTCTTTGTTAAACACACACGCAAGAGCACTACTAAATATAATTTTGCTCGTATGTTTTGTATGTATTTGATTTCAAGATTTCAGGGCGGATCCCTAGGTACTAGATAACCAATTAGGGGCTCTTCCTTAAGGAAAACTACTTCTCCACTCCCAGCATTCTTTAGTTGCCCGTAGTTCTTTGATGAGGGTTGAAGCCTCTGAGCATTCCCTCTTCCGAGTTAGCATGTCTGTTGGTGCTGTCATTGTTCAGGTCCTGTTTGGGCAGACTTGTTCATGAGACTTAATGGATGTGGCTTCTCTGACACTTCTAGGAGACACAACCTCTATTGTCCCCCAACCCCGTCATCTCCATTGTCACCTTTTATGTTCCTGATTTCTGCTGTTTCTCCAGTTATATTGTCGTATCTCAAGAACTGGCGCTAGGAACCATGGATGAGGGAGAATGGAGAACATGCAATATTTATCTATCCAGGTCTGGGTTACCTCACTCACTATGATCTTTTCTGCCTCTGTCCAGTTACCCAGATAGATCCTAATGAAAGAGACAGAAATCTTTATTACCTTGATATGCTTGTGGCTTTTTGTTTTATTACCAAATGAAGCTTTACATGGCTAACATAATACAGGAATTACAGGGGATAAAGTCTCTTGGTTTCTTGAGCTTTACTTAAGACAATCTCATACGCATGAGGGAATATTTGGAATTGAATTTTCAACCTATCAGTATATAGTATAAGTTTACTTTGCACTAAGTAATGAAGAGAAACAAGATGTAAATATGGGCTTGTTTGAAGAGTACTTGAGATTGACTGATAAAATTTCAATCTATTAAAGAGATCTTAAAGCCCTGAATAAAATATAATTAATTAATAGGTGAAACAATCCATTCTGTTTCTATCAGAAAGGAATTACCAATATGAGCCCAAGTTACTGAGGAACTAGTGCCCCTTAAGAGTAGGCCTGATGGTGTCTTTTGGGTTATCAATATATGAGGTCCCATAAATGAGAGCGTTTATATTATAAGTCAAGATGTTACTTGTTTATTTTAGTTACATATTTCAGTGCAAAACAAGTCATCTCAGAATCCAGTAGCTTACAACCAGCAACTATTTTATTATTATTTTATTATCTCTAACCTTGTCTGGATCACCAATGTGATCTGCTCCCCATATGTGAGTTGGAACTCTTGCCATCTCTATGGACACTTAACTGAGTTGGTTGTCTACTGTGGAGAACTGGTGGTTAAGGTTGATTGCTAGCTGAGAACTAAAATGGGTCCATAGATTAGTTGTCCCCATTCTCTGGGTGAGTTGAATTCCTTACACAGGTAAATATTCTAGGAAGAGGGAAGCGAAAGCTGCAGGACCATTTAACATGGTGCCAGAAATCTCAGGCCATCAACTTTCCTACATGTCCTATTAGCCAAAATAGTCATGGAGAAGAGGAAGGAACACTGTTTTTCTATCGTAGGTGGATATGTATAAAGGGAAGGAAAGAAATGCATTATAATGATTATTGAAGATTGTGGAGCGTTTGTATGGTGGAGACCAGTGGAGATTATGGAGAAGACTGTATGGTGGAGATCAGTGGAGACTATGGGAAGGATGGGAAGGAAAGTGTGATGGGGATCATGGGAGACTATCCATACAGAGCTCACGAAAACCCACAAGTCACGGAGAGCAAATTCAACATTGTGGTGATAACCCTGCCATGCTCATTGCTGATAGCTACCAGCCTCCTGCCTGTGCCTTCTTTAAAGCTGATTTTCCTTGTAGTAGGTTATAAGGAAACTTATAATTTCTAAGCACAGTCAAAACTTGAGATGCCTGCATCTCTTCTGAAATCCAGAGCCTTCTGCTGTGGACTTGTTTCCCAGGCTTGGACTTCATCTCCTGCTCTCCTAGACCACATGGCATCTTCTCATGCAATGTGTTCTCACTCCTATCTGTATTTAGGACACTGGTATTCACTTTCCTCTTAAGGTCTTCATGGACTTTTAGTTCTAGCTTGCCCATGTAGAATTGTACCTATTTCCCTGCTCCTAACATAGAATGGACAGATTGCCATGCAAGATCTTAAGAAAAATCAACAAATACTGACTAAGCGAAGGACTGTGGTTAGGACTAAGCTTCTGTTTGTAGAACAGAGGAAGAAGGAAAGGTTTTGAAGAAAGGTAAGGGTATGTGGGAAAATTCATGTGTGGGGTAGGTGATGACAGCCAGGCAAAGTTCAGATTTGGTGTGATACATAGTCGTCAGCCACCGTGCATTCTTGAGATGAGGTGTGGCTTGGTGAAATGATATCTAAACAAGATTAGTGACGAGATGGAACGCAGGGCAGAGTGGAGAAACTAAAATCAAAGAGGCCAGCGGTGACTGGGCTCAGGGGGTATTGGGTGGAAATGACTGATATATTCCTTGAAGGGGAACAAAAAAAAAAAAAACTACAGAGTGGCAGTTTATTTATTCATTTACTTGTTTACTTTTGAGACAGAGTCTCTCTAGGTAGCTCTGGCCTCACAAAATTCATTTTGCAAACCAGGATGACCTTAAACTCACAAGGAATCTCCAGTTTCTGCCCCCTTAATGCTAGGGCTAAAGGCACAGGCTACCACGCCTGGCGGCAGTGATTCCTTGGATGTGGGAAATTGTAATGAACACCAGAAAGGAGACTAGTGTGGTCACCAGTGGGAAGGTGTGGTTGAGTCTGGGGGAGGGGTTGGACTAACTGAGAGCAGTGTGCAGAAAGCAATGAGCAGGGAAAGACTTGGGGAAGAAGTCTGCTGAAGACTAAGAGCTTCCTCATCTGGGATGGCAGATACCGTGGAGAGTGATGGCTCAGAAAGACTGAGGGAAGAAGAGCTGGGTTTTCATGAATTTTTCAATAGAGGAGAAAAGGAGACAGGATACAGTAACAATGACTGATCTGGGCTTGGCCAAATTTTGAAGATATCAGCAGAAAGATGGACATGAAGAGGGATGCATAACAGTCCTCCATCATCCTACACAAGTCTCTGTCCCGGTTTCTAGACCTGACGGTTCCTCTGATCATCATTCATATCACTTAGCTTCAAATGAATTTGAAGCCAAGGATCCCAGCCATCCATTACAGGTAGAGAAACATGCTGAAAACTCAGTCATCGTTTGGACAGACAGCCAGATCCGCTAGGCCCTGCGCTGCAAAGCGGCACCGCACTGGTTCGCTCTGCTTCTCCTGCCTAAACATAAAGCCTGCCTCATCCTCAGCTATCTCTGGAGGAATAAGGCCTTTCCTCCTTCCCTCTCTTTTCTATTTTGAGCTAGTCACATAAACACTGTTATTATTTGTCTCTTTCCCTTTTAATGGGAGCTAGCATTTGCCTCTCTCAATCAATACTAACATTTAAAAGTCTCCATTGTGCTCAAGTTTTTTTTTGTTTATTTTATTTTTTTTTTTAGTTGTTGCAAAAAACAAAAATTCCACCTCCTCATCAAGTAAAAGGCTTCCTCCTTTCCTTTTCCCCTTCAGTGTCGTCTTGATCATTTGCTCTTGCACACACATACACACAGAGGGAGGGAGGGAGAGATACAAGGATTATTCGCTTATATAACCAATGCAATTATCACCTACCTCTTTCTATTACTAAATACATTTTTTTAAAGAAATTACACAATTTTTTAAAAATTGTGCAACAGAATTCAGTTTCTAAATTGTAACTTTAAAGATAAAGCAGCTTGTTTAACCATCCCCTTCTCAGTCTTGTTCCCACCATCCTTCCAAAGCACATTATTGTAGTGTTTTCTGTCTTTCCAGATGTGTATTTTTAAATGATTTATTTATATAGGATATATAGTATATGCACATATATGTCTAATGATAAATTGCTAACATGTTTAAGCAATAA